GACCCGCCGGCCCTTCCTGGTGGCCTGGAATGTGCCCACCCAAGACTGCAAGCCCCGCTTCCAGGTGTCCCTCGACTTCAGCCTCTTCGACCTGCAGGCCTCCCCCAATGAGGGCTTCGTGGGGCAGAACCTCACCATCTTCTACAAGGAGCGCCTGGGGCTCTACCCCTACTACAGTGTCCCCCAAAACAGCAGCCTGTCCGAGCACCTCGCCCGCCTCCAGGAGGGTATCAGCAAGTACATCCGCTCGCCTGCCAAGGAGGGGCTGGCCGTCATTGACTGGGAGGAGTGGCGACCCATTTGGGCTCGCAACTGGAAGCCCAAGGACATCTACCGGGAGGTGTCTCAGCAGCTGGTGCACCAGCGGCAGCCTACCTGGTCCCGCGAGGAGGTGAACAAGCAGGCGGTGTTCGAATTTGAGTCAGCTGCCCGGCAGTTCATGGTGAGCACCCTGCGCATGGCCAAGAGTTTCCGACCCAAGCAGCTCTGGGGGTTCTACCTCTTCCCTGACTGCTACAACCACGACTACAGCAAGAACAAGGAGAGCTACACCGGGCAGTGCCCGGATGTGGAGAAGACGCGCAATGACCAGCTGGCATGGCTCTGGAGGGAGAGCACGGCCCTCTACCCCTCCATCTACCTCGACCTGCTCCTGGCCTCCACCCCCAATAGCCGCAAGTTTGTGCGGGCACGGGTGATGGAGGCCATGCGCATCTCGCAGCAGCACCACGACGGCTACTCCCTGCCTGTCTTCGTCTACACCCGGCCCACCTACATCCGCAAGCTGGATGTGCTCAGCCAGGTAGGGCTGTGCCACAAGGATGCCCTCATCCCAAACCCCAGGCATCTGGGCTTGGGGCCAGCTGAGGTGCTCCCTCTGGAGTGGGGTGGCTCTGGAGGCTGGCTGCTACCCTTGTGGTGTCACTGGTACCCTGTGGTTTGGCTTTCCCTAGGTGGGACAGTGAACAGCACCCTTTGTTATGGGGCTGCTGGTGCACATGACTGGCCTCGGGGAACAGAGGGGGTGTCCAGCCCTGCCTTCCTCCCAAGGGGGTTCACAGCATGAGCACCTGTGGCCCCACCCATGCAGTAGGGAGCCATGAGCCCACCTTCCGCAGGCAGAGTGTCTGGCAGCAGGACTGGCACTGATGGTCACCGTCCCTGAGGAAGTGCCTGGGAGGTGCTGCAGGACCCCTGGGTCCCAGCAGCCAGGGCCCTGGGGTATGTGAGCCCACAGCCCCTGTGCTGTGCTGGCTTAGCCCCTGAGGAGGGGGTGGGGGGGAGCTTTGACTCCAAGGAGCTGGGACAGTCACCTCTTCCCATGGCCTGGAGCAGGGATGGGTGTTGCCTCCCTGACCTCGGTGGGCTCTTCAGGGTGTGCCGTCATGGGGGGGCTGGGTGCTGTGTGGGTTCTACAGGCACTAACTGGGTTCTGTCCCCACAGCCGGACCTGATCTCCACCATTGGAGAGAGCGCAGCGCTGGGTGCAGCCGGGGCCATTTTCTGGGGTGATGCAGACTACACTAGAAACCGGGTAGGTTTGGGGTCAGTGCCCTCCTGGGGTGGTAGCTGATGGGTGGGGGGTCACCTGCCCTCCAAGGGGGACCAGTGGCTTGAAGCTGGGCTGTCTGCTCAATCTGGGGTACTTGTCTCCCTGGGGTACCCAACATGCCTCTGATGCCCCCCCCTTTCCTCAGGACTCATGCCAGATCATCAAGAACTACCTGGAGGGGGACCTGGGCCGCTACATCGTGAATGTCACGACGGCAGCGCAGCTCTGCAGCACGGCTCTGTGCCAGGGCCGGGGCCGCTGCCTGCGCCAGGACAGCACTGCTGATGTCTTCCTCCACCTCAACTCTACCAGCTTCCAGCTGCGGCACCGGGATGGGGACCACCCCCAGCGCCCCCTCTTCTGGGCCGAGGGCCAGCTGTCGTCTGCTGACACCCTCTTCCTACGGACCCACTTCCGCTGCCGCTGCTACCAGGGATGGCAGGGCAGTGGCTGCCAGGTGCCTGCTGGCCCCCGCAGTGATGCCCCTGACCCCCTGGCACCGCTGGGACTTGGAGTGCTGTTGCTGCTTGCAAGCTGGTGCTAACACCCCTGGACTGAGCTGCCCCCTCTCCCCCTGGCACCCTCTTTCTGTGGTGGTGTAGGGGACCTATTTAAGATATCCCTACCCTGCCCATGAGGCAGCTCATTATGGGGGGCTGCCCCTT